TTTGTTCATTTCATGATGATATCTTTAATTTTCTAATTTTGGTGAATATTTTTGTTATTTTTGGTAAGAAGTGATATTTTCGACTTCTTGTTAAAAACCGCAAGTCCAATTGCTTTGATATTACATATATAGGTACTACATGTGGACCACTCTCAGATTTGTTCATTTCATGATGATATCTTTAATTTTCTAATTTTGGTGAATATTTTTGTCATTTTTGGTAAAAAGTGATATTTTCTTCTTTATGGTGAAAAATGATATTTTTGAATTCTTGTTTAAAACAGCAAGTCCCATTGCATTGATACTATGCATATTGTTCATTTTCTAATATATCTTCTGTTCTTTAATTGAAATGTGCATTGCTAACAGCGGAGCTATCTCAGCCGAGAGGCTGCTTGTTTTTCATCACGTTACTGTTCCAGTTGGACATTTTCTTACCACTGTATTTTACTGGAGTCGTTTTGGAATAAATGGTATACAGGTTGTGATTGTATCATTATCGGAAAACCTAAGCGAGTCTGTATTTCTGTGACGCTATTCACAGTACTTTTGTCACCTTTAATCCTTAATATTATTCAATATATGCTTGCTTCCCCTTCCATCGTAATCTACTACTACTACTACTACTACATTTTCAATATATGCTTGTGGGGATAATTTTTCCTGTCAGTGTTGTAATGGAGTGATAAAATAATTTTTCGATGGCATATCTGAAAATAATGTTTTTATCTCAAACTTACAATTAATTTACTATTAATGTCAAGATTTGGGGGGGGGGGTCGGGTAAAAATTATGACATCACGTGGATTGAACTTAACAAAGGTATTTCAGTGATCTTTTAAAAGATACCGATATTTTTTTATATTGTCTCTATATGCCAAGGCTTATTTTTTTAATTTGTTTTAGAAATTGGGTGCTCTCTCGACTCGTATTAAGTTCAAGCCTTAATATGAACTGAGGTCACTGTTTTGTCTTGTATAAAAGTAAATTCATCATAATAGCAAAGTAGCAGTCTTGTAGATGCAGGGTTTAATTACTATGTAGCATCCAAGACCTGTTATGATGCATCAATATGATTTTGTATGCATTCAGGGAATGTCCTGAACGCATAAATAATATACATGTATCCAATCTAGAATTATCACATTTTAATTCTAAGTGATTGTTTTTAGTGATTTGTTTGTATTTACTGGACTGAAACCTCTTGGTTCCAATTTTTTAAGGTTGTCCTGGAAACAAGACAGTATGATACGTTTTCCGAGCGTGGGAAGTTTCTGCTGCATGGAGATGGTTCAACTATCTGGTTTGACAAGAACTTCACTATGGTGTACTTTAGCAATGGGAAGTGTGGTACCAATGCTGAGCACTCTTGGGGTGATGCACCCGTTACAGGACACATATTGGAACATGCCATGTCTGAAGAGTGAGTAATATTATTCCCTTATTAGGGGCTGGATGAGTAGATTGATGTCGCCTCAATATTAGTACTGTAAACCGCTTCAATTTTGTGAGAGACACATGTACGTGAATTTTGGTCAGTGAAAACAAAAGTGAAAATTTCAATTTCAATTGCGAGTCAGTGATTTTCACTGGTGTCCTAGGGAGTCACAGTAACTTTCATTGGTTTCTTAGGGACTCACATTAACTCAAATTCTCACCTAAAATACTCTTGATTTAGGGAAGAGTAGGAAATCAAACGGGCGGTGCACCGCGGTCATTACCGCGGTGTACCGCAGAACGCCGGGGAGAGCCGCGGACTGCTTATAATTAGGGGTCTCTACCGCTGTACCGGTCTCTACCGCGGTCCTCGGTAATGTGTGAAATACGTACTTAACAGTTTCTTTGTGATTCCATGAGTCATTGTTTTAAAATCCGATGCTGTAAATGAATACGATATGTGCGCTTGTTTAGTATTTAGTACATGTATTTAGCGTAACACTGGAATAAAGTTTACAATTGAAAAGAGGACGATTTACAAAGTTTCAGCATATCCAAGCCGTATCCTGGTTCTTGATTGATTTGGCAGTATCATGTTCACCATTTGTGTCACACTCCAGAAAAAATGACCAGCAAACGAGAAACGGGCGAACTAATCAAAACAGGTCAGGCTGTCTGCA